TTATCGATCTACCGCTTGAAGAAAGCTTTGACAAGACTTTATCAGAAACATCCATTTTCTGCGAGTCTTATCCACCCTGATCTAAATAACTTCATCAATTCATCTTGTCATCGATCAGAAGGTTCTCCTACGGGCTGCTAACGTTCTCTTGGAACTCAGTCTAATGTCGCTTTGGATCAGCAATGTTCGGTTCTTACAGAAACGCGTCATGCTTTTGCAACTTCAACTTATGCAACACAGACCCCTGCTTGTATTCTTACCCATTCAGTCGTCTTCCTAATTCTTCGTGACATGTTGTGCTGCGTAATTCGCAGTTTAGTGGCTAATGGCCCAGGGTCCACTTTTCAATCTTCTAAAAGGATCAATTTTACTCTTCCATTGATTTCGGAAGTGATTCCTTTCCACTGTACGACTAAAAAACATAGGTCACGTCTTTTCACGCCCGTGTCCAATCATTTCAACGGGTCGCACGGTCACATACATGTTAAGCATGACCTGATCCTGCTGCAGGTTCATTTTCAGCCATTCTTTGATGCCGGCAGCATCTTGATTAGTCTTTAAAGTGGCTGACTTAAGAAGATCAGAATATCGTCCGCAAACAACAGGTGGTGTGTATTTATTTCCAGCCCATACCAACTATAATATGACAAAAGACTTCCTCTTGGAAAATTCAAGGCCAGAAAAAACTACCCTAGCTCAAGAATTTCTTCGCTAGAGACGTCGTCTAAGGACTTTAATAATCGTAGTTACATAGAAGAGTAGTGCGACACATAATAAACATGCGCAAAGACAATTGGTAAGTCTGCATGAAGTGAAACGCAACGCTAATTTCGTAGCAAAGATAAAGCCTCTCTCTAAAGAGTGAATAGCCATAATGTCCTAAAAATACAGGTACAACGCATATTCAATGCTAATACTGAGATCATAGCGGTCGTAAGTCGACAATCCGTCGATCCAAAGCATCTCTATGGACAAAGATAAAAAGGCAATCGAAAATTTCGTATTCCCATTCATTTACCGGGGACACAATTGTTTTTCCTGAGAAATAATTATGCAATTTCAAACATCTGCAAACGTCACAGAGGTCTATTTCAAAACTTAATGAACTTCCGCTAAAGATGGTGGCAAAATGTTCCATGATTTTATCCTAATCATTAAGTACTTTATTAATCTACTTCTCACGGGAACAACATAATAAACAACCGCATTCACACATGGTAGCTGTAAAAAAACCTAATCGTGGAAGATTCATGAAATCCAGGAATGTTGGCATATTTGTTAGAACAGAACTCATCCCAAAGTTAACCATTTCACCCTCAACCCAAACTCTCCAAAACTAGAAGAGGATTTGGCAAGATTATTTGGAGATGCATAACCTAGCAGATTGTTTGACTTATTATGTGAACGGCTTACTATGACAGTTCTGCAGTCGATTTCGATCAGAAATCTGCATAAATTTGCTTGCAACAAGGATTGTATTTTTAGATTATATCAACGTCACTTTAGCTGCTGAAAAACAGAATTCTGTAGTAATTTTATATAAACTGCAAACATCTCTATGATTCAACTGTCAACTGAGTCTCTTAGTGCAGTCGTCAATTCAGAAAGAAGTAGAATGATTCTCATGAGTATTAGAATACTGACCGCTTTTAATGCGGTCGCCCCTGATTCAGGTAAGAGTACTTGCGCTTAGCACCCCCTTAGAACTTTATAAGATACATCGAAAGTTCTCAATAATCTCTCTGTAGACCAATAGACTGATTTACGATAAATTGGTTAACATAGTCGCAACGGAAAGAATAATTTGTTAGTGTCTCCGACTTCGATATTCAACATATGCCATGTCACTTAGTACAAGAAAGGTTTTACAATCCATTAGGCAAAATAATATCCCTGCCAGTTTCTGCTATTTACTGCAATTCGGCTGCTAATCAATGAGTTTAACTATCTGCTGAACGAAACTGGCAACTCAGTCTGATTGTGTACAGGATTTATAGCATGCTTTCATAGCCGATAAATTACTGTTTGCGAAATGAAATTTTCAAATGGGCAACAGACGATACCTCTGATCCAAGGATCAAGCTTTTCTCTAACGAGGCCATATCCTGGCCGCTAGACAAAGATTCTTGCCGCTGACTTCCAGCTTCCTGCTGCCGTAAACGTAGGCTCTGTAAGGCATAGAAACGCAGCTTAGATTTTTCAGCTGAATCAATCATGTACGAGGCGTCGACCAAACTCAACAAACGCTCGTTCTTGTACAGCGATATCCAGTCGGCGGTCGACATCACGTCCTGGTGGACGTCTAAATCAGTCGGATTAACAAAAACCGCAAAGGTCAATGATTAGCAAACGTTGATCACCTTCAACAGCACGTCCAATGGAGGCTTTGTTGTGACTGGCGGCCAAAAACAAGGGGCTATCAACGAGAAAGTATGCCATCGGCGGCGGGTTGCTGCATCGCGTTGGCAAACACGCTGGACAGACGAGCGCTTTCGGGCTGGAAGCCCGAGAAAAAAACTGACTTCTCAGCAAGCAGTCGTTAGCATCCTGCAACGACGACGTATTAAAAAGGGAAATCAAAGAAATACAAATAACAATCCTCATAACTCCACGGCTTGGGACAAGCAGTGAATATGAAAAAAAAGAAGGAAAAAGTAAACAAATGATTCAGAGAAAAATTACATTTGCGATTGTCAAAGTAGCTCTGAAGACATGGGAACTTGGTCTTTTTCGTCGCATTACATTACATTACAAAAAGCCAAAACAAATGACTCTACGAACTCAATAATGGTCTGGTGATGAGACTGTAAATGAAAGGCAAACAGACCTTTCAACAGTCTTAAAACGAATGTCTAGAAGAAAGGTACTCAGACCAAAAACCCGAAAAAGGGACAGAAAATCACACCGATTATTTTCTAGAAAAAAAACTATATTCAATTTTCATCATGTCGTAAATCCTCTGATCTAAGGATAGCGAGACGTGGACTACACCACTGGAAGATTTCGACGAAGCTGGATGGATAAATTTCGGAAAATTAAATAAATAAATTTTCGAAATAAATTTCGGAAATGTTTTTTGCTTCATTTGAATGAATAGTCCAGTTTAGAAAACTGCAATAATAATGCTCTCGAAATTCCCTTTTAAAACGTCGTATCACCGCACCTGTTCTGGTTAGCGAATAAAACGAACGGTGGCTGCAAATCAAGACATCTTGATTATCACAATGACGAAAGGTCATAATCGCTAAGAAAGTAGTATCGTCCACCGCATGTCGTCTTTTCACTTGATATGCACTATCTGAGATTTCATAGCGCCACTTCAGAGATTAATGCGAACAAGAGGTCCTAAACCATCCGTCAAAAATTTTGGTAACAGTGACACGTCGTCAGCAACAATGACGAAGACTATACAAATTTGGAAATGATCTGTACATTTCTCCAAAAATTTAACTTCCACGCAGCAGGAAGATGTTATGTTCATCATCATCATCATCATCATCTTCCATCGCCGCTTCTCCTTTCGGGTCGCGGAGGCAGACGCGTCAG